AAAACAAGTTTAAAATATGCATACTTTGGCATTTGAAACATAGAAATTTTCAAAGGAAATACTCTTTGGGGGGGGGGGGAGGGGGAATATTTTACTCAAAGTACCATGGAAACCGTAGTCTCACTGGTCGTTAGAAGATACACTTAGGATATCAATACGACTCTTCTATTCATTACCAGTCGTGTACAGGGAATCGTACACTTCTATCCATCATTGTTAATCAAGATTATTTTTCAATTATTTAAAGTTGTTAGATTATTGCATATTTTACATATAAATCAATAATAATTCTTTGATAATATGACAAAAATTGTTTGCCATTTTTGTAGAAAGAAGCATCGACAAAGATTATCATCTAAAAGTCAGGGAAGATTGTATGAAGGTTCAAATGACTATTCCATCACAATATCAACAATCAAACGTGACATAATACTGACATCACATTTCCGTGAGATTAATTCGATTCGTGTTTATATGTCGATAGGGAGTGAGTTAATCGTGATGTTTTTTTCTCTCAGATTGGAATTTTAACCACCCATAACTGAAAAAAACATCTGTTCATATATTAAATAATTACACTTGACACCTGTGCTTTTTTCGTGGATGTAATAAGCATGATTTTCCATAACACAAGCCTTACTATTCTGATAATATATATGTAGAAGAAAAAAAAAACAATTAAATATGTGACCTCATTTAATCTCAATTTTACCTCATTTTATCGCACATGATAAAGTGAGCAAGAAAGTAAAATCGATTTTGCTTTTCATTGTTTTTTCATATTTATTGGAGTTGTCGCTTTCACATAAATTATTCACACATGTAAAGCTATCTCTCAAATCGTTTATTTTTATAGAAGCAACAAATCACAAATGTGCTGGGAAGTTAAATAGCTTCTGGCTAGTCCCTTAGAATCATTATGTTCAAAATGTAGTATACGAATTCAGATGACAGCAAAAGCTTTTTCTAAGTACAACAGAGATTATTTTTAAATAAAGTCAATACATTTCATTCATGAGCGGATCAAGAATTTTTTTTTTTTACCAGATTGATCCATATCTACTGTCTGTCTGTATGGATGTCAGATTTTGGAACAGGCCACAAAATGCCCGAAACTGCAAATCTTACTTTGTTTGGGGACAGGGAGTGGGGGTGTCAGGAGGGGTGTCGGCTACCCTTTGTTAAGTATTTTTTTTTCTGATAGATGACTCTCTCTACAGACTGTTCCTAAAGGGTCTGCTGTTTCAAAGGTGGGAGCTAAGATCCAAGGTCTTTTTTGTTGAATGAATTCCCCTCTAGATCCGCCAATGTCATTTGGAGTAAGTATAAATTTAAGATAAGATGTTGCTCAGAAAACCCACACCTTGGTGCATGGTTAAATAAATTAATAATGCCGAAAATCACGAGTCATATAATGTGCAATAAACATTTAGTTCAGGCAAGCGCAGAATACGGAGTCCTCGAAACAAAGACAACATTTTTACACATCACATTGTAAAATTTTTATACTTGTTTATTGTTAAATATTGTTAGACTGTACCACATTAGAAAATATTCGTTTGTTGTATGGCCCGAGTACGAACATTTTTTTAACCGAGGCAGGCCACTAACAGATAAGTTGATTTTACATGGATTTCAACTACCTCGTTTAAAGTCGGCATTTCGTAAATTTTATGGTCGATATAATGCCCCTGTTAGCAAATATCACCTACCACTGTGTCCTATATTAGCTGACTTCTTTCATACCAATCGTTAGACCTTTGTTTTTATACTGATTTTTAGTACAGAATGTTCGGTCTATCTGATCAATATACAGGGCACACGGCGGTTGTGACCGGACAAAGGGACATGCTCACTCCTCCAAGGCACCTAATCCCATCCCTGGAATTCCAGGGGTCCGTATTTTATGTCCTCTTTACAGCTGTGTATGTTAATAGATTTTTTTTTTAGGTTGGATAATGTTCACTTTTTCATGAAACAATTATAATACATTATTTTGACAATTTTTAATTTTTTTTTTTTTTTTTTTGGCAATAACTTTTCTGTCATATAGAGGAAGTATAATTCTTGATTAGTCATAGCATACCATGGACATGTTTGTATATGATAATGCTTACAGAGTATTCAGACTACAATAAATGCTTTAAAAATTCATATAACAAAACAATCGGGTTTATCAATAAATAAATTTTAATCATGCAAAATCTTACAACAACTCATACTCGTTTTAACAAGAAATATATGGTTATAATTGATCGATTTGCTGCAGAAATGTTAAAATTGTATTCAAAGTGGTATTTCCCAAGCACTCCACTCCACAGAGCAAAAGTCTTCCAGTAAAAGCATAAAAGTGACCGAATACTACTTCTGAAGCTAAAGTTATGTTGATTCTGAAAATTGCTTTAGACATCATGACTAAAAGGAAGGTTCGCCTAGTTTCAGTTGATAATTCAAACGGTGCCATGTTGACAATTGAATTCATTCTATGTACACGTAAGTTTATTTGCCCGCCTCCTCTGCATTGTATGTACGTATCACGATTTACGAGTCTAAATAAGTGACTTTTTTTTTTGGAGAGTTTATTTCTACTGAACAGAAACATATATTGAACTACTATAATCTTTAAATATATTCAACAATAAGTACAAAACACATTCACTTTTTTTCTCTTTTCCTAAAAATACCTATTTCGTAAATTCAAGGTTTTTAGACAGAGTAATAATATCAGATTATGCAATATAAATTATAAATACTCCTGGCCTCCATTGTTTAGGAAGGGAAAACATTGACATTGTTTTTTCGCGTGCAACAAATATGTAAATGTTTAATAAATAAATGTTTCTTTTAAAAAAAATCGATCATTAAAATCTAGCTTAATTTTTTAAGTTATGACCAAAACAAGAAATCGGGAAAAATTGTAAAACCAACTTATACCTGAGAACTCTCATAAAAACTGTACCAATATAATAATCTCATATATTTTCTAAAATTCGATCGAATGATGGGTCATCTATTATGTTATTTCGTTGAAAACAGATACAGCTCTCTGATATGAAGGTTAGGATGTTGATTTTCGGGGATGTAGATAATGAAATTGTCCTGTTCTCGACTGAGAATGTATGGCACTTGATTTTTCTCTCTGAAAATATGAATATGTATTGGATGAAATAAAAATCAATAGCCTTTAATTATTAAAGATTAAACTTTGATGACTGTCTTTCATTTTTTTAATCAAAAACATCATCATACATTTTGCCTTTAAATTTTATCATTACAAGCATTATTTTTTCTTCACATTATAAGCATAAGATGTTATATAGGAATGAGCTTTTTATCAGAAACAGCATTGGCTTTTTTAATCGATCTTTTTTTCAGAGAAAATGAAAATAGCACTTTAGTTATTTTAATATAAGTATAATGAATATGATTAACAGGGCCGATTTTTATTTTTCACTAAAGATTTCAAAATGTCCTATAAAGTCTAAAGTTTAGTAAAGTTTATAATTTCTTAACATTAATATTTTTGTCATCATTTACAATCAAAACAAGTTTCCAAAAAAAATATATCAATCCATTTTATGTTTGTTTATATCATCTGTCCTTATGGTCAAGATCTAGTAAATGAAAGGTGCCTACAGATTTCTCAAATCTGAGAAACGAATTCTTTTAATAATCATTTACAAATACATTTCGGTAAAAAAAAAAGGGGGGGGGGGGTTAAACAAGGTGTATTGAGGAAGATCAAAACGAAAACACGTATCTTTAAACTGCCAGTTTAATGGAAAATAAAGAAATTCTGGTACAAGTATGGGATTTTTTTATTTCTCGGACAATGAAAATGCATCTATATTGGCCACAGTATCTCAGAAACGGTTTTTCATTTCTTTCTGACCTCTTCTTTAATATAACGATAAAGAAGTAGGTACGGTTTTGACTTTATTGTGCCCTAAAAAATTAACGCTTTCAAAATGTTTCGAAACTGGCTTAAATATTAGTTGAGTATATGACTGTGATAAATCAGGAAAGAAAATGGCATGAATGATGACCATTCTGGAAACATGATGTCATTAATTTGAGGAATTTCTCTGTTTTAAACAGAAATGCCTCAAAATGACCCATTTCATGGTTATTTTTTATTTTCATGGATCTAGCACCAAAAAGTCTAAAAACATTTATTAGATATTGACCTTAAGCGTTTCTATAAAATTAAATTTCATTTTTCGGCGGAAAGATAGAAATCTTTCATAAGGTTATATAGGCAATTAGTGGTAAAAAATATTCCTCTTAAGTGCATTATATGTTTCATTAATCACATGAACATTAAGGTGAATATTCTTCTGTTATAAAGATTCAAGTATATTCATATCTTTGTCTACAGGTCGGGGCTTTGGAACTAGAATTCCACATTTCAAGCAGTATTGTGATTTATAAATCATCGTTTTGCAAAAGTTTCATCGTAAAAATAACCACATATCAGGCTCTAACCTTTTTTTTAGTTCAGATTTATCTTCTATGCTTTGGTAAAAGTTCAAATTTTATATTTCATCTGAATATGTTGATGTCTCTATATGAGTAAAACTACTCTCTGGTGCCTTTATCTCTTTTAAATCAATCAATGCTTATGTATTTTGCTTGAAGCCTACCAATATCAAAACCCAATATTCTTACCAATGCCCATGGTTTCATATCCCATAAACAGAGAACATTGCTAATGATTATTCAGACTGTTTTCATTTGGTTTCTACGGAAATGTGGTGCTATTTTTCAGTAATTATATTGAAAGCTTCCTCCTGGCAGAAGAGACCTGATTAATTACAACGATAAATCAAAGGCAGCCATATAGAGGTTTAAATTAGAGTAGAAAGACTACAATAAATTGTGTCTTTCGGCAAGTATATGCACAATCAAAATGCATTGATTTATTTCTTTTTTTTCCATTCAGCCTGATGGACGTTAAGATAACATTTATATTCAGCAAAGGGACTTGATATTAATACAAATCAGGTGCTCGCCTTTTTATGTTGACTTGTGCTCTTTTCTTTCCTAGACAATTCTTGCTCCTTAGGAATGCGATCTCCTAGATCCTCTTTTCCCTGGTCTTTCCCGACTGAGGAATTTCTTGTATGAGTCCTGATGACATCACTTTCATAATCGTCACTATTATAACTCGGTTCGTTGATTGCACTATCTGTACTCTGACTTTTGACCCCGGTATCGTTCCTACTTCGCTTCGAATCTTCATTCATTCTTGACATTAGAGTCTCTAATTCATTTTCTACAGGCGAAGCATAGTGGATGCCTTGGTCCTGTTCCCCTTTGTCTGATATTTTCTCCTTCTTACAATGATGATTATGTTTCTTCTTTCTAAAGCTGTGAGAAGTCAGATACGGATTCAGACACTCATTGTCTTTATTTCGCGTCTTCTTTTTCTCTTTGTTCTTGTGTTGGGAACGTGGTGTACTCGTGTGATCTGTCCCATTCCTTTTATTAAAAGCTATGTAAGACTGCTGTTGAAATGTTATTTTTTGTTCGTTGTGTATTGAGCTCCTACTCGTTGATTGAGAAAGGGATCTCTTTTTACTTTGCACAGGGTGAGGGGAAAAAGAATCTTGATCAATGCCAGGTAATGGCATAGCAAAGCTAAGCAAGCTAAACTTACGTAGATGACTAAATTCATTTAGGTAAGCAATTTCTAGTAGTTTTTCTCTCCACTGCAGATATTCTGTTATCTCTTTAGCCGTTCTAGGCAGAGTGTGTATATTAATCTTATTTTTTGAAAGCTTATGATGAATAGGTTTTAAGTAAAACGACAAATATTTCTGTTCAGCTGGTTTTGTATGGAACTTGTGACCAACAGGCCATCGAGTGTCTATCCTCGAAACGATCCCTTTCTTTTGTGGTTTATGCTCCAATTCTTCATCTTTTTTCTCGATAACAACCACAGGAAGTTCTGGTTTTACCTCGGTTGTAAACGTATCTTCTTTTGTCAACTCTTCGTCCTTTGAAGTCTCTTCAACTTCGGTCTTGTTTTCGCTCTCTTTGATTGGAGAAGGTGGAGTTTGGGAATGTGGAGGCGGTGGAGATTGGGACTCTGGCACTGGATCCGGGTCCTCTTTTAGCAATTGTTCGGTCTCAGAATCAGCCGAGTCCAATTCAATATCCTTGTAGAATTCGTTTTTTGAGATGCCTCTCAGAATTCGTATCGTCTCTAGAAAATCCATCTGTTTTTCATTTTCCTCTTCAATACGTTGTCGGAGTTTAGAACACATATCGTTCCATGGCAAAACTTTCATTGCTGATTTTTTCCACTTGGTGGAAGCCTATAAAATATATATAAATTTTTGAACATGTCCTCTATGAGATCACTTATGAGGTATATGCACGCATACGTTAGTTCATTTCTATAATTTCCATTTACTGATACTGACAGAAATGATGATTATGACTCAATAAATGAAGTTTATTTACATGCTAGAACCATTAATCTATATCAACATATTAACAATTTCTTTCTTTTTTTCGATGTTAAGATTATAGTAATATGGGATGAAATATGGGTTAAGATAATAGTAATATGGGATAAAATATCAGTTAAGATAATAGTAATATGGGACAAAATATCAGTTAAGATTATAGTAATATGGGATGAAATATGGGTTAAGATAATAGTAATATGGGATAAAATATCAGTTAAGATAATAGTAATATGGGATAAAATATCAATTAAGATTATAGTAATATGGGATAAAATATCAGTTAAGATTATAGTAATATGGGATGAAATATCAGTTAAGATTATAGTAATATGGGATGAAATATGAGTTAAGATTGTAGTAATACGGGAGGAAATTTGGGGATAACGAACAGTGATCATTCTGAAAAGTCCATTTAAACAACAAAAATTATGAGCAGAGCCAACATGGACCTCTGACACAGAGATGGGATTAGGAGCCATGGAGGAGTAAGCATACCCTGCCATATGCTCTTTGTCATTATCCGTAAAAAACAGTAGAAAATTCATTGTGATAACGATTGCCCATCAATTTGTATGAAAAAGGACCGTCAACATTCGACATAATGACATACTGTGTTTGAAAACAAGGTCATTGGATCGACCATAGAATTTCCGAAATGTTTTTAAACGAAATTATTGATGTCCTTGAATCATCAACTTATTAGTCAATAGCTTGTCTACTTTTAGAAACTGTTCGAACTTAGAATATCTTTTGCTCATCGAATCAACTGGGAAACAAATTCCATAGCTACTCTAATGAATCAACACATGAATGAAAATGCAAATTGCTATTTGAGAAAACGACCTCAATGTATATTGTGGAATTGAAGGGTGCAGCCAGTTATTATCCCAATCCGTCAATTAAAAAGCTGATTGATTGTCTGTAATGATTGAGCATTTAAAACATGATTTGCAGTAAGCATCATCAGATACAACATCCATTCAAGTTTTGTCTGTGTTGGACTTGTAGTGAACTGGAAAATTGTAAATTGCAATATGAAGCATGGCTGGTAAGATGCATTCCAATATGCATCAATCATGCAAGATTCGGTCAAAATAGTACATTTTGCTATATGAACTGGATTTGCTCCAAAATATGCCAATACCAAAATACAGGTCACATTAAGACTCATCATTTTAATTGATATACTATAACTTTCCTGACCTGCAGGATTTGTTTGTTTGTTTGTTTGTTTTTGCACATCAAGGGTAGCTTTTCAAAATAAATAAATAAATAAATAAATAAATAAATAAATAAAATAATAATAAAAAAAATAAAGTCAATGTACAAGAAAGAATCTTTTCCGACAAACACTTTTTTTTCAAAACAGGTGAGTCGTTGACAAGATTGAAAGTTTTTTTAAAATACACAAATGTTTATGAGTTTCATCGTTTCTTTTGATATTTACTATTACCAGTTCCTTGTTGTTTTTCTTACTTAAAAAAAAATAAGATTTTTAATAGCAATGCATGTGCGTGTTTGCCCCATAAAATAACAAACCAGACCATGGTTCCATTTAAACTTCACTTTGAAATGCAATTGCGGTTTTTTAATACAATGGAATCCTCAAGAGATATTTAGTTAAATTACTAAACCATGAAATGTTTTGTGAATAGGAACCATATGACAAATAAAAAAGTGAAAAATACGAATTATGCTGTAAATGTTTTAATTTGAATTATCTTCTGAAAACATCAGTAATAAATACCTTTTTATTATTCTCATGGCTGCTGGTCTGCTCGTTTTCATTCGGTTCGTTTACGTCTTCATTTATTGCATTTAAATCACCCTTCTTCTCTTTTTGGTTTGTTAATTTCATGTTTACCGTTTTTTCTTTCGTTGTCGGTTTAGCTTTTACTTTTTTCTTTTGTTTTATTTTCTTTTTTCTTTGTTTTGGCAGCGGTTTGGATTTTTCCTTTGTTTCCTCCTCTATGTCTCCAGCAGTATATTCCTTCCTTTCCTCCAATTCTTCACTTCCGTCTGAGGAATCCTGATGCACGTCGCCCGTTTCTTTGTTGTTATCGTTTTCTTCGTTCACTTCCGGTGTATATCCTGCTCCCTCAATAGAATTACTATAACGTGAATTATGTTTGTTTTCGTCCATATCTGTCATTTTATTCTCTATGATAGCCGAAACAACAATTGTAGCTCTTGAGTTATCTTCAGGACTAGCAGGTTGTGCGGCAATATGTCTGCTTTTTTCATCATTTTCGTTTTCTTTTTCTTGAGGGCTAAAATGATGATTTTCTGGTTCTTTCAGCATAGAATCAGTATTAATTTTGCTAAGGATTTTGTCTTCTTGGTGTTCTGGGCTTGGTTTTAAGTTTACCGATTTTCCTTTCATTGAATTGTACTCCGCTAGCAGTTCGGCCTTATTAGAACCTCTTTTAACCGATTCCGGCGGAAGTGATCCTTCTGCTACTTCGTGATCACTCGCTAGCTTTTTCTCCATGTCCAGGAGCTTTGATTTCCGGCGATCACGTGCCGCTTTTAAGCGCTGTTTTATCTTTTGCCTCGACATAAGTTCCTTCCACTCATTGTCTCTTGAATATTCTGGCTGTAAAAAATAATTTTCATCCTTATTAACAATACGAACATTCAAGGGAAATAGTATAGTTAGAGATACATTCTATTATATATAGCTAATTAAAAGTTTAAATTAACAAAATTGAATGGTGTATTTGCATTACGTAAAGAATATGCCACGAAATATTCAAAATACGAGAGTTCAATATTGAGTGCGCCGTTGTAAATTAAAAAAAATGTCTTCTGGTCAATCGCTCAACGATTAGATTTATGCTAGGTAGTGGTAACTTGATAAGATGGGTCTATTTCACAATAAAATTGAAAATATTTATTAACAAATTGAATGTAAACATCGTATTTTCATTGGAATGACGTCATACTGAACATATCAGAGTCAACTTTGATATATCACACTTTTTAATTTGGATACATACCCAGACTGAATATTTTAATTGACTTTTCATTAATTTAAATCGACGATAAAATGTTTTAGCAATACAATAAATAAATTTGCATGCAACGATTGGTCGCAGTGCACTCGATTCGTGGATTTAAGGATTTATACAGCATTCGATTCAATCTTCAACTAAAGTATAGCATTTACAAAGAGCTTTGTCGTCTTAAGCAACAACCTTAAACAGTTAACTTACTACACCTATCAGGTAGAATTATTCTTGAGAAGGTATTGGCTGTGTTTACAGAGGTTAGCCCAAAATAAACATACATATACATATAGCAAAAAAAACAAAACAAAAAAAAACAAAAAAAAACAGAGAAAAACAACGAAGTTTAATATTTGCGTTGAATTTCTGTTAACCAAGAAAATATCGAAACACGTTAAATAGTTGATAGAAAAAAAAAGTTAAGTGTCAATTCTCATTAATTGCAAATTTATTATGTAGTTTTGTCGATTTCTTTAAGATTGAAAAATTTTAAAATTAAGTCGTACGAAAATTAGATAACAGAAAATTTTCTCCCTCGTCTTGATAAGCATTTCAACCCATGAAATAATTAAAAAGTCACAAAAGAGTGGAAGTGCATTGTCCAAAGAAAGTAAAATACACCAAATATCAAACAGGATTCGGATTCTGATTCTTACTTAAGTTACATTATTCAATAATTGAATAGAAAATAAGCTTTTAAGCAACTCTATACCTTAACATTATTTATTCCGCATTTGGTCATAGCCTAAAAAGTTATTTAGGTCTTTCTTTCTAATAGAAATCCTCGCTCCAACCTGCTAGATACCTCAGTGTTGTTGATATAGGGAACATGTATTGTTTTAAGTCTGGATGTTGAGTTGTATGTTTTATGTGGTATTAAAATCAAACGCATAGCTTTTGTGTTTACACAGTCATGTATCTTGAACTGAGGTCCCCTTGATCAATGCATAGGGCTCATGGCGGATGTGACCGTTCAACAGAGAATGCTTACTCCTCCTAGGCACCTGATCCCATCTCTGAAATTTCCAGGGGTCCATGTTTATGTCCTGTTCACAGGTTTGTATTATTTGAAGTTTTTTATGAGATCGATCACTGTTTGTTATTTTCCCCCTTTTTCATCGTCTTACATATATTATACTTGATGTAGTAATAATGAAACTCTCTAAATGAGAAGTGAATAGAACTTGTGAAGTAACATGAATATCTATGGAGAGTTGTGGAGCGGGAGGAAAGAAGTCCTGGCTGAGATTGTATCAGTTGTGCCAAAAATGAAATCCAGATCTGTATGTGGGCAAATTCTTCTTTCATAATGAAAGGGAGCAGTCAATGTATTTTAGGCTTTTTTATCATTTGGTTATTCATCACATATTACTATTAAATTATTTTTACTGTGATTGGTATAAATAATATTATTATATAAGTTCAAATTTAGTGGTTTTAAATAAACTTTTTTATTTATCTGTATTTCACTGCACACTCTTAATCGTTCCAGAGTTTTAATTTCAGTACATTTTTTTATTCAATTCGATGATATTACGGTATAGAAATATAAAATTAATATAACTTCAGCTTATGAAAATATAATTATTGCTTATACTCGTATATGATCGCTTAGGCGGTAAACTATCTCATGTTTAAATATTTTTTATTTGCATTTTTCGTTTCAGAAAAGGCTTATGTTGAATAAGTTTATGTATAAACTGTCGATTAATTCTGCAATTTAAACCTTTTGTGTGTGTGTATATATATATATATATATATATATATATATATATATATATATATATATATATATATATATATATATATATATATATATATATATATAATCATTTTAGAAGCTTTAAAAGTTAAATTCATCCTCTTTAAAAGAAAAGTAACATTTACCACATGATAAATGTATCGCACCTTAAAAGGCATTCGCATAAAATGAAAAATAATTTTCTCTTTAAAAAAAATGAAACTGTTTGTTTTGTCTGTATTCATATATATCCTATTTTATTTATGATTCGACATTGAAAAACTTCATACACCCTTTTAAAAAATGTCTTCTCCAAAAATATAGGGAAGGGGGTAAACTTAAAAAGTTTTCAATTATATATCACGTAAGCGAACAATGCCGATATAAATAATTTTAATACTTTTTGGAAGGTTAGAAGTTCATTTACAACATATCAAAATTTCATAATATTTCTTGAGGGTGCCTCTCTTCTTTGCAAGCAGTACTGGTCATGGTTAGACATGGCTTAGCATAAACCAAAAGAATGCGGTTGGTCAGCAACAATCAAAACTTCTCAGGCCTTTCTGACAAGCGGAGAAACAACCTCGAATATTTTACGTAGACGCCCATGACATTCCCCCTTTTTGATGAACATTGAAACAAGTGTAGAGAGACCTCTAATCTGTTGAGTCTGGAACTTATCTTCATTGAATGCAAGATATTACTCAAATTATATTACAGAAGGGATAATCAAATCTGGCCATCCAGTATTAAATATGAAGCGACTCCATTTCGTTTACAATTTTAACATCCGGTGATGTAAATACATTCAAGTCACCCCCCTCCCCCGAGCTTTCCGGATAGACCCGAGAAGATGGGATTAGGTCGGCAAGGTGGCAGGGGATAGTTTCGTACTAAAGACCCGGTCAAATTTCTTAAAAAATTGAGATATCCCCTGTTTGATGTGATATTTTATGTAGAAAAATGATTAGAATAATTATGGGACACATTTGCAGTGTAGCAGAGTGCTTGCTGAAAAAAATGATGTGCAACATGTAGGTGTCACTATGACGCTTATCATATACAGAGTTGTAAATGCGAAACTAAGACACGTGGTCAGTTGCAGAGGAAATTCAGCTGAAAAGCAGTAGGCCTTAGAAGAAGGTGTGTATCTCAGAGGGAAGGTGAATGACCCCATATCAATTGGTGAATTTTTATTAGGGCTTGCATTGATTTACAGACTACTGGGTGTTTTATCCTGCTCGCTCGGGCCCGGGGGTGGGTTGTATGGGTGTGAATGAGGCCCAAATCTTGGAAAAACAAGCCAAAATTTGGGGAGTCCCCAGGTGCATTTTTGGTACATGTGCACTCTAATACGCAGATTACATGTAATTTGTTGACATAATTTGTGAGCCATGGGCATATGAAGTGTAATTAATTAGCCCCTGGAAAACTGTCCCCATGTACATGTTTTTATGGATCGCATGTATATGTGTACCCCCTCGGCACATGTTTGGCATTAAAAAAAACTATCCCCTGCTACCCAAGGGTTTTTAGAATTAGTTAAATCCTTCAAAAAACCTTTCGTGATAATTCCTTTGTACATGAATATTCGGATAAACTGGACAGAGCACTTTCCAGTGATTTCCTTTAAGTTACAAGTTAATGGAATCTCGAGAATGTTTTTTTTTTAATTCACATAGGTGACATAAAACTTTTCAGCTAAACGGTGTTCAGAAAGCAACTGGTATGCTCGCATGCATCTTTTATGTTCTATCATGCTGTTATTGCCAGAACACAATAGATTGGCGGAAATCCTGCAGTTGTTTAACAACCGTCACAGAATAAGCACGTGTGCATACAATGTAAATATTGATGATGGTATAACAAAACATGAATTGCTTTATTCAAAGCTGAATAAATAAAGCCAAATAAGGTGTTTTTTTTAATTAATCATTGCATATAAGAAATTCCTCCTGTTTTAGTTCTTATTGTTGTCAAAGCAGTTTTAAACTTTAAACGAGGGTTTGTGTATACAGAGAACAAATAATTCAAAATTGAATTACTTTCTATTTCTGTGGTAGTATATGGTTTGACAGCATTACTTTCAATTGGGAGTGGATTCTTTCCACATGAGTAACCGGGGGGGGGGGGGGGTTCTTGAAATCAAGTGGGTTTTTTTTTGTCGCCCCAACCTCCACAATGAATTTCAAAAGAGTAGCTACTTCCATCAGATATGAAAACAGAGCCATCTGGGTCGGCGCTTTGATCAACATTTAAAACAGTTGCTTATCAATACTATTTTGCAGAAAAGCACCCCTTAAATTAAATCCATTCATTATTGATTTATGTATACGATGACAAATGATAAATTTAATTAATTCTGACGTTTACGTCTATCAAAAATAGATTTGTTTATAGTTAGCCTACTTACAAATCTAGGTACCTTTGATTCCAGCTAAGTACTTTAATTTTATTTTTTGTCAAATTATTTCATATACATATGTTGCTAAAATAATTTTATTCATAGAGAAAACTTATCCTAATTTGACCAAATTAGTTCACAATTGAGACCGGTAATCTAATTCACAATCAAAATCGATTCAGTGGATACAGAACTTTTTATTCTGAACATCAAGTGGCTGTTTATTTAATTTGAACCATTATCGATAATCACTGAGGTTGAACCAGATCCGTGAACCAGGTTATAATACGGTATAACGTTTCCGTCCATATTGTTTCGCTTAGACACAAAATCGAATGATTTCAGATAGTTTTCAAGTAATAAACTAACCTATCCTTATAAAGGAATTAATACACCCTATATATTACGGAATAAGTACAGTTGTGTATATGAGGGAACATCGATCAGCTAGGTTAACGTCACTACACCAAATCTTTCTTGTATTATTTTTATTTTATTTTATTTAATATTTATTTTATTTATTTATCTATTTAATTATATTTATTTATTTATTTATGATTGTTATTTCATTTTTTTTTTTTAATATTTTATTTTTTTTCATTTATCTAATTTTGCTAAAGCGCATTTAAAGAAAAAGCAGCAGTTATACAACAGAAATATATTTGTTTGAAAACAAGAGAGTACTATTCAAAGAATCCACCCTTTTCTCTTTTTCTTTTTAATAAACTAAAACGGAAAAATGGACTAACAAACAAATTCAGAGAACTGTACCCCCCCCCCTTCTGGGGTCTTATTGGATTATGTATAATGAACCAATTGACGTATTGTGACTGTCTTATCTGTCCATCTTGCTATAAAGTTTTATGTATTTTTGAAGTAATATGTTCTGGTGTAAACGTTACAGCCAAGTTAATATTTTTGAAAAGTAGGTCTAATTTCAAAGTCATGAAGTAGCAAATATCATAGTGCATTTGGAAAGATCTTGACATTGTTCACATTTAATATAAAAATATGAAACCCCTGTTTTTTTTTTTTTTTTGTTTTTTTTTTTTTTTTCAGGTACAAAAGCTAAGATATGTGTAAACTAATGCGTGTATTTAGGTTCTAATGTAATTCTTATCAAGGACCACCCTTAAACAAAATAAATATGGCAACAAACCTTTCTGTCAAGGTCAATACTGTATATGAAAAAAAGTTCAAAGTTCAAGGTCAAAACAACAGTGCATGTAGAGAGATCTTGTCTAACGTATTGCACACAAGAAATTCTTTCATTTAAAAATTACATGCATTACTAGAATTAAAGTTTCCGACAAGAAAGTCGTACTTCAAAGTCAAGGTCGTGAAATAAAAAAAAATCACAATATATTCAACTGGGTCTTTAAATGATAAAAAAAAATCACATTATATTCAAATAGGTCTTTACATAGTAAATGCTCATGTTAAAATGTAAAAGCCCTAGTTACATGTATGTCCGAGGTTAGATTTTTTGGGACGGACTGCTAGACATACAGCTAGACATACAGCTAGACAGACTGACTTAAAGACAGACAAATTAATCCCCGCGCTTTTGCGAACTAAAGAGAAAATAATATCAGCTTAATCACATTATCCTAATTTAATTGTGATTTCAAACTTCCTCCAATTTGAAACAATAAACTTTTATAAAAAGTAAACATGTAAATGTTTGCTTTGTTGGTTTAAAAATGATTAAATCCGCAAGTATATTTCTACAAATCCTACGCTAATGAGGAAGAACTGGTTAAATATTTGTTTTAACATACTTAACAATGTAAAAATACAAAAGATATGTCTATACTTTATAATTAGATGCATTACATTTAATTAAAATCAAATATTAAGAATTTTTTGTGTTCTAAAAATTGTTACATTTGTAAAAAATATTTTGAAATTGATTCTAATAGTTTTTTTTTAGTATTTTGCCATGGTAGCAAACGATTCATGGCATCATTTATATTCACAGTCGAGTAATGAGTCAAATTTAAAATTCTGTTTGCTTTCGCTTAAAATTAGAATCATTTGTATTTTTTTTTTAGTTCATGAGAGAGAGAGAGAGAGAGAGAGAGAGAGAGAGAGAGAGAGAGAGAGAGGACTAAAGTTTTTTATATTCAAAAATGAAAATAGAATTATTTAGCAATGATAAGAATAACCTAAACTTCCCTTCCGTTCGTGAGATAATACAATAGTAAAAAGTGCAGTATAAGATACAAAAAAAAATAATTTCACAGATGGATATATTTGTATACATATTCTTAGATTTTACTTACGTCGATGTCCGTCCCAAACACTCGTTTGAACCTCGGTCTATCATCCATGCTAGCCATTGTGTCTTTGACTCGGATAGTGTTAAGAACCTCAGATAGGGGATTCCGATCCATAATTATCGAATTGACCGGCGTCCACCAATACCCTAAAATCAAAATATTGTCCCGTAGTATCGATCTAACAATTGACGGATTCCGAATAATTCACAATTTTATGGCGCAGTCTTCCATTGACATTGTTTTATGTTTTATTCAATTTCACAGAGGCATTCTTTATTCATTTGTGACGGTTTACGACCGTTGTGTCAGAGCTGGGACGCAAAGAGACAGTGAGTAACGATCGCTCGCTGAGAAGGTATCAAATACACAAGAGGCCGTCCAATTCCACACCAGTAAATACATACATTTTTTTGTCAACCCCAAATCAATAACCTATTTCAAAGGTTTAACACTCAGTTAGGAATTATAATTCCTCTGTAAGCCAGCCCAACGTACATCACTCTAATGCTTTTTAAATGATCAAAACCTTAACGCAATCATCTCTTTACTTTCAACTTTGTTAATTATTAAAGAGTATTCTAAAGTAGAAGTAAAAGACACATAAGATACGTATCCGTCTTTTTGACACTCCAAGCCTTATCGACACACAGGGGAACACAAAACTGTTTTCTGAAATCAGTTGACAATGTAAATAAATTTTTCCGTTACCACGTTCACAATTTCTAAACAAACGTGAGACAGCATTGTCTTTATTCTTTCTATTTCTGCTAGAGTTACGTCCCTTATATAATTCTTGCGTATTAGAGGTAATAAAGCGCTACCAAAACAGTAATACCCTGGCTGGAGTTTGGGGTGGGGACATTTTAAGTAAAAAAAAAAAATGAATTCGATTATTATTGACACCTCATAAAAAAAGTTTAAATATTTAAGCAATAACTGTACTGCTTCACGCAGGTGATATGATTAAGGTAGTCTGATCTTCAGGTTCTGAAATTCGGGAGTTGAATAATTGAAAATGCTCACAAAAATGTCCCAGAATTCTCAAAGTAATATGTATATACACATGTACCCATGGTATTTCTTCAGTGTTCATTATTATAGTTAATCATAATTATATTTATATATTGGGAGGTGAAATTACTGAGATATTTTTTCCGTAAACACGAATAAAAGCGCCTGCTATGCATTTTCTAATTTAATATTGATGAATAAATATATTTTAGGATAACAAAAAAAAACTATAGGTATCCAGAATTCGGAGAAAAATGCATGTTTTTTTTTAATTATTTTGATTAATTACTCAGTTCTTCTATTTACTTCAATTTATGTATAAAGTGTAAAAAGTCTGTGCTGTCATTGCTAGACATCACAGATCACTTCTAACTTTACATCATGCTAAAAAACATTAGGGTAGATTAAGGGGACCGACAGGGGTTTTCATTGCGCTTCGCGCAGCATAGTGACATAAAGCGTAATTACCCCTTGAAAGCAACTATTTTTACATAATTTATAAAAATTAACTTAATTAAGAAATCTCAGGTTAAAAAATGGAATTACGTTTTTAAATAACATTTTTTAAACGATTTTTCAAATGATGGGTAGATAGACGTCGTAATAGTGTGTTTTTGGCGTTATAACTTACACAAGTTCTTTAAGAGGGGTCATTAATTGTGTCATAAAATAAAAAGTATAAAATAGATGCTCTTGAAATTTTAAACATAGGAAATCGAGAATCTCATTATCATTTTAATTGTATTTTTTTATATATATAAATTTGTGGTATCTGTCATGTTTTGTAGTACTCCATAAAATCAGGAAAATATCAAGAATTTTGACATTTTGAGATGCCCCCTCTGGAAACCAGACGGTAGAATAAGTTTGTGTTTCTTGCATAAAATGTACAATATAGTATTACTCATCAAATAAAACAATTTGATCAAAACGTCTATTGTAGCATTTGTATAATTTGCTCCGAAGTGCGAAAAAATAGTATTCTCTTATATAATCCTATAGTAAATGTACCTGCATTTTGAAATGGTCCCTAAAAATAATTAGACGGTAGATTTTCACTAAACTTGGCATGTATACTGAAGTCAATGTAAGGTACATATGGTATAAAATTAAAGATATTCTCTAAGGTAGTTTTCACACAATAAAACCCAGTCGGCTCCCTTAAAGGAAATTCGATTTTTCTATTAAATACATTTATTTTTGTGCTTTTAAGGGGGTACAAATGCCAACTTTTTACAAGTCTGTTTCTAAGACTTCAAATTAAGAACTTTTAATCATATTAAGATGCATGAAATGAAAAATATTGCATAAAAAGATTTCAATTTCAAGCTTCATTTTGAAACTTTTTAAATTAAATAATAATTTTAAAAGTTATCGTTCCTGGCTGAGTAGCGGATATCCTTAAGAGATTAAACAGTCTTTCTTGGAAATTGGAAAAAAAAAAAAAAAAAAAAAAAAAAAAAAACCTCCGAGACTGCAATATATGATCCAGATATCCGATATGTCAAATCATCAAACGAACACAGTGGGGGCACGTGACCTGTATCATTCTCCATTATTTGTTTTAGAAATTATTATGAAAGGAAACATGGTGTTTAAAATTCTATTCTATACAAATTGTTGATGTAGAGGCTCTGGGTAATTGTAAAAGTGATGTTTTATTTGGTATTGTATATATCCCCCCACAAGGTTCATTATATAGTTCACCAGAGGCATTTGATGAAATAGAACTAGAGTATTTAAACTTAATAAATAATTTTGATTTTGTTTGCTTGACAGGCAATTTTAATGCTAGGGTGTCTGAAAAAAAAAAAAGATTATTTGGAAGAAAATGAATTGTCTGAATTTGAATTATCCTTAAATGAAGATTGTAATAATTTGAGTGATGTTAACAAGTTGGGTAAATATAATATAAATATTAACAGAAAAAGTAGTGATAATAAGACGAATGCTTATGGATATCAGCTACTGAATTTTTGTAAGGCAAATAGCTTATATATAATGAACGGTAGAGTATCAAATGATGAAGACAAGGGGAATTTTACAACCACCATGTCAAGTATTGTTGACTATTTCATATGCAATACTGATTTTTTTTTTCAATTCGTTAGAAACTTTGAGGTATTAGATTTTAATTGTCTGTACTCAGATATCTATATGTTCCTCGCATGTCATCGAAGTATTATACGTAGTGACAATGAATTAGAAGGTATGTCACAAAGAAATTTATACGAAAGAATTAAGTCGTGGGACTCCACTAAATCGAATGATTTCCGTAATAATATAAGTACACTAGACCTACTTAATATAGAGCAAATTATAGACAACAAAATTTTAGACCTTGATATTATAAGAAAAGGTGACGTTGATTTTTGTTTAATACCACAGCTGACCTATTACTATCCTCGGCCAAAACAACATTTGGCACATTTTTACCTCGCGATATTGATGTAAGAAGAAACAAAAAAAAAAAAAAAAAATGGTTTAACGCTGATTGTCACAAGGCAAGGAAATTTTGTAGAAAAATTAAACGTAAATACAAACTATATGGATCTAATGTTTTCAAACAACAATTACAAGACGCACAAAGAAAATATAAAAATATAAATCTACGCTGAATAAATCATGTATTACAAAGATTATAGAATTAAGTTACAACTTAATATTAAAAAGTTAAGAAGTTCAAACCCAAAAGAATACTGGAATATTGCAAATGGTAAAGGACCTAAAGAGCACCACAACATAAATATTGTAGAGTTTTATAACTATTTTAAGAATGTTAATGAAAATGAAAAGGACTCAGGGGGCTCAGATAGCGAACTAGATAAACGTATTCTTGAGTCTTTTGAAGATATTTCTTTTATCAATGACCCAATTACCTCAGATGAAATTCTTAATGTAGTGAAGACAATTAAGAACAATAAATCGCCAGGGCCTGATACTGTTATAAATGAGTACATTAAGTCATCTATTAATGTCATGGTGTCACTTTATGTAAAATTGTTTAATCTAGTATTTGATACCGGTATTGTTCCCGAGGCGTGGCTAGTTGGAAATATAAAACCAATCTATAAGAAAAAAGGTAGTTATACCGACCCGCAAAACTATCGTCCTATAACACTGTTAAGTTGTCTTGGAAAAGTTTTTACATCTATATTGTGTAGAAGACTGACCTCATATGCAGATAATGTAGACCTCATTAAGGAAATCCAGAGCGGCTTTAGGGCAAAATACTCTGCTGTTGATAACATGTTTGTACTTCACTCTTTGATAGAACTCACTTTACTAAAGAAAAAGAAATTATACTGTGCCTTTATTGATTTCAAGGCTGCATTTGATAAACTATGGCGAATAGGGTTGTGGAAAAAGCTTGTTAAATACCACCTTGCGGGGAAATGTCTTAAAGTTATTGTTAATATGTATAATGATTGTAAATCTACAATATTTTATAATAATGATTTTTCTGAATATTTTTCCTGCCGAAATGGAGTCCGACAGGGAGAAAATTTGTCTCCTCTTCTCTTTGCATTGTATCTTAATGATTTAGAAGAATTTTTAATACAAGAAAATGTGATTGGATTGAACAGCCTGTCTGAAGAAATTGAGCAAATGTTGGATGTATATTTAAGAAGTATGATTATGCTCTATGCAGATGATACTGTATTGATGTCTGAAACTGAGGATGATCTTCAATATCAACTCAACTGTTTTCAAAAATATTGTGAAAAATTGAAATTACACGTAAATATTGATAAAACAAAAATCATAATTTTTGGTAAGGGCAGACAATCATCCAACGTAGCATTTACCTATAATAATAATGTTATTGAAATTGTAAAAGAATTTAAATATCTAGGGGTGTTTTTCTCAAGAACTGGTTCTTTTTATAGCACGAGAAATATACTGTACAAAGAGCAACCAGAGTTATGTACGCCATAATTAAAGAATCACGAGAATTGAATTTGTCCATCGATTGTCAAATTGATATGTTTGATAAAATGGTTATCCCTATCCTTCTTTATGGCTGTGAGATATGGGGATTTGAAAATGTGAACATTATTGAGAAACTTCAACTCAAATTTTGTAAACTTATACTTCATCTTAAGACATCTACTCCAAATTATGTGGTTTATGGTGAGCTTGGCAGATATCCATTGATTATAAATATTAAAATGAGAATGATAAAATTATGGGTAAAACTGTTGAAATGTAAAGAGACAAAATTGTGTCATATTTTATATAATTTTTTATACAGCTCATCAATGTACAACACTGTTAATTGTAGTTTTAAATGG